ATGATGAATTTTTCCAGAGAAAAGAAGAAGTAATTTCAGAGGGAGACCAAGAAATATACGATTTGGGACATATATCCGTGTTGAATATTTCAACCTTATATGGGTCCGTTTCTGTTATACATCTATATATATATATATATACTTATACAAGAGAAAATTATTATTACAAGGGAAATTGTACGTATCAAGTTAGGGTAACTTCTGCTATGAATTCAGTTTGATTTGTGAAACATGGATTGCTTTTTCCACTTCAAACATCATTTGAAAAGTTTTATAGTAATCATCATCATCATCATCATCAAATTTGACATTACACACACATATTTATATGTACACATAGAAAATCCAAACATCGGTATTGGCTTTCAAAGCATTACATCGTTCGAGATAGATAAAACAATAGTGTTTGACAACTGAATGCAAGATTAAACGCGTTTTCTGTAAAGTTTTTATTTTCAATAGTTTATTTATATTCTATTTATTTTATTTTAATATTTTTTAACGCTTTTTTAAATAATGATCATGTCAATAATATTGAAATTGTTTGAGATTAAAATAATCTTAATAAATTTTTAAGTTATGAATAATTAATAATTTTTAATATTTACAACAAGTAATTTAAGAGAAAATACTATTAAAATAAATTTTTTTATTAAGAATTCGAAGTTGTGGTTAAATTTTGTATGAGTCAAGAAAAAAAAAACCCTACGAGAGAAAACACGCATGAGAAGCACTAAATCTTACTTAGCATAGTAACTCCTATGCTTGACTCAATTTTTAAGTCATGGTGAGTAAGGATAAGCTGAGTTTTTATTTATTTACTTAATGTGAAAATTATTTACTAGGCAATGAGGTATACTAATCTTATTAAGTTTTTGTTAGCTAAGTTGTTAGTCTGTTGGTCTAATTACGATCATAAATGAATCTCGTTCATGTAATGTAATTATTAAGATAAATATATTATTTTATTTTATAACATTAATTGTTTATGTAAATGTAACTTGTGAGTTTAGCTTTTTTAGGTCATAACCTCACCTCTATCAAGTTTTTTAGGCGGGTGGGATTCTCAAAGAGTTTTCTTACAAACCAAAATATTGGAACATGTTTCTATTGCCCTTTTATATTCTTGTTACTAACTAAAGTCAACTTCTCATGTCTATAGTAAAAAAAACTCTTCAAACCCCAATGATGTGTATGTGTGTGTGTGTGTATGTATATATCGGAGTTTTTGAAATAGTTTGTAGTATAGGTTTACTTAGTTCATTTTGGTTCTTGATCAAAATTTCTAACATTAGGATCCATTAGTAATAAGAATTGGAGTAAGTTAGTAGACTTGGATTTCAAATGTAGTAAAGAGAAAAATATATGGAAAGAAAGAGTCAAAAGTTTATATTCTACAAGCTTTTTTGAAATTGAGGTTTGGTGCAGGTAAAATAAAAGAGGTAGGTGTTCATATGAAGAATAAGAGTCTATTAAACAATGTTTTTTTCTTAGAACTTAAAATATATTGAGTATTTTCTTTTAAAAGTTATAATATATTAACTTAATTCTTTAGGAATTCGTAACATAAATGTTGTTTTTCATGTTATAGCTATAAAAAAATTTGAATCATGTATCTTTTCTCATAGAAAAATAACAATAATTATAAAGCAAAATATATTACTAAACTATCATTTATCATCCAAATAACGAACTTAATAAGTGATTGAATGCAACTTTGAGTCAACACGATTAAGTTTACCTCTCATTCGAACCTAAATTTAGCATGTACATGTATATGTACATTGTACCACAATATGGACATATCATGTTTTATGTAGTTATAATATACTATTAGGTTCGATTTTGATAATTGGTTATGTTTGCATATATTATAATTTTTAGAGTAAAACCATAAAAAATGTCTTACATATTTTATGTTAAGATTCTTATTTAGTCTATACCAACGTTTATTAGTTTACCCAATAAAGTGATATAGTATTTATCACTCTATATGACTTATTTATATACCACCTTAATTGTTAGACTTTATATTCCACTATCTAAATCTAGTGAAAGTGAAGTACGAACATCTTGGGAGAGTATAATTACAGTTGTCGATCCTTATACTAGCCTCTAACTTTCTCTACTATTAACTTTTAAGATATTTTAGAAATTGCTCAATTTTGTCTTATTTTAGCAACGCAATGTAATATCTAAACTCTTAAATTTTTTGTAGATTATATATTATTTTAGTATACAAAGATAAATATTAAGAGATGTAGAGTGAATAATTAACTGTTATATAATAGAAATGAAACAAATATATTTCAATAACTTGATAAATTTGAACTGGATATGAATAGAAATCGTAGTTTGAAATTTTATAAATGGGTAGAGAAATATATATAGAAACAAAGAATTCAAAGTAGAAAGATTTATATTACATGGTGACGTGAATAGTTTGATGGGCTAGAAATGAATTGCTATTTAGTAATAACAATCAATATTGTGATGTTCAAGATGTTACCTTTGCAAGAAGGACGGTTGATACCTTATTCTCTAAATCATCATGGAGATAATTTTACCTTCTTAACGCTTCTCAACATCATGGAGACCACCATCCTCTTCAAATGTTATAATGATGCATGTTTATCCAAAAAACAAGACATTAAGGCTAAGTATTATTGGTTATAATCATATCGGTCAAATGATATTTGCTACCTATGATCAAATGAAAGCAAATTTTCTCTATACAAATGGGTGAAACACTAGTTTCAAGATTTAAAATAGTGATTGTAAAGGATAAAATTCTTTTAAGCGACTGTAATGAAAACTTCTTGAGGGAACAATCTAGCAATTTTTTATTAAAGACACTCATTATGTGTGTGCGTGTGCGTGTGTATAGAGACATATTGTAAAAGACTAAAACCATAACAAAAGTGATTTAGTAAATCCTAAGAACAACATCATGCAAGCACTATAAAATTAGATATATACCACATAAAAACATATCACCTTTTAATGTTTTTTTTTAATTGTAAAAATCTTCATATAAAAATTATTAAACTCAACCACCTTAGTGTAATCATTGTATAATTTTCAATATACTTAATGCCAAGCTGGTTTTTTAAAAGAAAATATAAATATATGTTTTATTAATGACATGACAAATATACACAAACAATTTTGATAACAATATAATTTTGTTAATAAATAATAAAAAATTAAAAAAAAAATTTTAAAAAAGTCACGTTAAATTTTTAATCAATCGTGATTATCCCAATTAAGAGAACTTATCTGGTACAAAATATTCTTTTTATTCAGAAACGTTATAAGATTGTTAAAATTTAACTGAATTTAACCACTATAACTTCACAAATATACTTGTGAATAAAATTATTAATTTTATCAAATTAAACATTATAAGTCGGTCATTATTAACACATAATATATTCACAAAGTGATAAAATTTACATATTTGATTATTTTGAAATTAACACCTTCAAATAGAGTATATGAATCTTAATCTGTAAATATATTAAAATTAGTGACACTATAATTTTGATAAATAAATGGTAAACAATTTTTTTTTACAGAAAAATTCAAACATATTATATCAAATTTTTAATCAATTATAACTATTCCAATTAAGAGAACTTAACCATCACAAGATATTTTTTTCGTTCAAAAATATAATAAATTTATTGTGATTTTAACGAAATTTAATCACCACAAATACATTAGTTAATAAAATTTTTGATTTTATCAAATTAAACATTATAAGTCGGTCACTTGTCAACACATAATGTATTCAAAAAAACGATAAATTTTACATTTTTGTTGAATTTTGAAATTGAAATTTTCGAATAGAATGTAAAAATCTTAATCAACAATCGGATTGTTTGTAAATAATAAATTAACTTTTGAAAAAAAAAAAACAAAGGAAGTGATCTTTGACATTTGTTACTTAGGGGGTTAAAGGGAAAAAAGTTGTGTAATTACTTTTGTTGACTTTTGTGGTGTGGAATCTTGAATTAAGGGGTAGTGATGTAATTAACACGACTTATAGCTGCTCCAAAGACTTGAGTTGTTTTGCTTGGTATTGACCAAGTCTTCACCTAATTCTCTAAACACACACATTCCTAATCCAATAATTAATCACAAAATTAACAATTACCATGCTTTAATCTCATTTTATCGTATAATTTTAATTATTTTTTAATTTCAATTATAAAAAATTAAATACAAATTATAAAAATGTGAACACAAAGAAATAATGGATAATATAGTAATTAAATTATGTAAAGCAAAATTAATTTGTTTGGTATTTTAAAAGTCAAACTGCTAACATCAACCGGTAAACAACTTCAACAACTTGATCTCAAACAATTCATACACAATCAACGGTTGATGTTTAAGTTGATCAAAAGGAAAGGAAATGTAATCAATTTATAATTTACTACTAAATCTGACTTAAGAAGGTAAATATCAGCTTTAGAAAACCTGTGTGTATATGCGTGTGTGTATATGTATATATATTCATTTACATCACAATCAAAGGAGAGGGGGAGAAAAAAGGAAAAATCATCCAGAAACCAGAAGTTGGGAGGATCTTGATCTGCTACATCTGAGATATACCCAATAAACTCTCCATATATATAACAACAAATCCATTTGGATTAATTAAGTAAATTATTAACCCCAAATCCACACTGATTAACCATTTAATTATTTATTAATTTATAAATCCAGCTTTTAATATTAAATTTTTTTTAAAAAAATTCAACTCAGTGAGCCGAAACTGAAAATTTCAAAAACCTTTTTTTTTTTTTTTTTTTTTTCAAAGAAAAGAAGAAGAGGAAGAAGAAGAAGAAGGAGAAAATTTCAAAAACCCAACATTTTCTCTACCGAACCCGCGTTTTCTCTCTTTCCTTCAATAACGGAATCCCTCGGCTTTAGCCGGATCTTCATCAATCAACCACTCTGTATTGGACTGCTTGCTTCTGTGTTGACTCACTATGGGAAACTGTAACGCCTGCGTTAGGCCAGAGCCTGAACAGGAAAACTCGCATAACAAGAAGAAAAAGAAGGTCCCACGGGAGAGGAAACCCAACCCTTATGCCGGAGGAGATTCCATTCTCTCGCCTGCTCCGATTCGGGTCCTCAAGGATGTCATCCCGCTCAGTCACCGGACCCGAATCTCCGACAAGTACATACTGGGTCGCGAGCTCGGTCGTGGGGAGTTCGGGATCACGTACCTCTGTACAGACCGCGAGACTCGCGAACCGTTAGCCTGTAAATCGATCTCTAAACGGAAGCTCAGAACGGCGGTTGATATCGAAGATGTGAGACGCGAGGTTGCTATAATGTCTACTTTGCCTGATCACCCGAACTTGGTGAAGTTGAAAGCGACGTACGAGGATAACGAGAATGTGCATTTGGTGATGGAGTTGTGCGAGGGAGGAGAGTTGTTTGATAGGATAGTCGCGAGGGGACATTATAGCGAGAGAGCGGCGGCTGGAATTGCTAGGACGATAGCGGAGGTAGTGAGGATGTGCCATGAAAATGGCGTGATGCATAGAGACTTGAAGCCTGAGAACTTTCTTTTTGCAAACAAGAAGGAGAATTCGGCTCTCAAGGCCATTGATTTTGGCTTGTCCGTGTTTTTCAAGCCTGGTAGGCGGCTCTTTTTCTTTTCCGTATTTCAAGAGATATTTTCTTGGATTTCTTCTTCCTTTATCGAGTTTTTGGGTTTTGTTGTATGCAGTTTCTGTTTCTCTCTCTTCCTCTCTATCTCTCTCTCTCTTTTTCTTTTTTAGTTGTAACAATTTCCTTCGTGGAAGATCTTGTACTGGATTTCTGTGGGCATGTATAGAGTTTGGTTCATGATATTGCTTAGTGTTTTTCTTTTCTCCTTTTTCTCTTTTTTTAAGCCTGCTTGTCTAAATTTTGAGTTTTGAATCGGATATCTGGAGTTTTAGATTTTGAGTCCATGTTTCCGTTCACCATTTACCTCCTCCTGGAGATTGCTCGTCAGGTTTAGATCGAACCTATGATGTTTTATCGACTGGTGGGTGGAGATGTAAAGTTGAATTATGGGTTTCGCCCGTTAAAGTTATCAGTTTTTGTTACAGGGGAGAGGTTTACAGAGATTGTTGGGAGTCCATACTACATGGCGCCAGAGGTTCTGAAGCGAAATTATGGACCTGAGGTTGATATATGGAGTGCTGGAGTGATTCTTTATATTCTGCTATGTGGAGTTCCTCCATTTTGGGCAGGTATTCTTCTTTCCTCTTCTGATTATCTTAGTAGCTTTATGTTTTTTGATGAACATGGTGTTGGCATGAAGTAGGAAGCTTGATAAATCTTTTTTTTTTTTTTTTCGATTTCTTTTGGCAGAAACTGAGCAAGGTGTTGCACTTGCAATCTTGAGGGGTGTTCTTGATTTTAAGAGGGAACCATGGCCACAGATTTCAGAGAGTGCTAAGAGTCTTGTAAGGCAGATGTTGGAGCCTGATCCGAGAAAGCGTTTAACTGCTCACCAGGTGCTTGGTAAGTACTTATTACTTTACCAATTCCCCTGATACTGAATCTTAACTTGATGCTGCTGGCTGATGTGTGATTAACTGAGATTTCTATCTTTCTTACCCGTCTTTATTGGCTTTTGATAATCCTTACATGAAGAAAATTATGAACTCAAGTGCTTGTAACTTCAATATTAACATCCTGGTGCTATAAAGTTTTCAATGTGAGGAAAATGCAAAATCAAGGAAGAATTTGAAGGTGAAATTTGAACGTTTCGGAGTTTCCCTATCTACTTTTTTAGAAGAAAAAAAATGATTTAGTGCTGTATGATTTTTAGTTCATTGGTTTCAGACAGACCAGGTTTTTGAACATTTATTAGCAACAAGAATGAACCTGAAAAAAAAAGGGTATGATCTTCAGTTTTTTTTTCTAGGTAGGTCTCCCATGGGAGACCAAAGAATGATGTTATCAGAAGAAAGAGGAGAGGATTTTTTTTTTTTTTTTTTTTTTTGAAATAGGATATGGAGAGAGTAACAACCTCAATCCAGGCAGTTTTAAGGAATATAGTCCTTCCTTTCTAATCCTTAATATATTAAGAGTTTGTTTCTCTCAACTTCTGGCTTTTCTTTTTGCCGCAAGAAGAAGCATAGACAAACCACTAAAGAAAAACTCTTTTGTTTAAAAGCAGAGGGCAAAATGAGCTTTCAATAAGAGTAGAATCAGAAGCTAAGAATAAACGTTTATGAGCTTTGGCTTGTTTAGAAGTTATAGTTTTTTAAACAGAAAGTTTGACTAATTTTACCCTAATTCATCTACTTGATATATATTTTTTTCCAAATAAATTTCTGATGGTAGTTTATTATTGCATCATAAATTATTCAAAACTTAAGAAATTTAAATAATGAAGAATTAAAATTAATATTTATATAGGTAAAATGAAATTAAAATACACACAAAAATGTTTCTGCATTCTTCACAATAGCTAGAGATGATGAAATCATCTTATTCATAAAAAGAAACTAATGTTCCTTCCAAGCACCTTTTAAATGACAAAATATGAACGAGATAACATAGTAGTTGTGTTGGCCCAAATCATTATCAGATTATTTGGTTTGTATATGAAACTTGATTGTTTACTAGTCAACTCATAGACCTGCAATCTAGAACAACCAAGGAGGTACCTTTTAAAGGAAAAGATATTGTAACTCTTGGATTTAGCTCAAATTCTTTCTACATCATTGATGTACAAGAGGTTCTTCATCTAACATTGTTCAACTGTCGAGAAGGTCTTTTGTACTTTAAATAGAGAAGGAAACACTTCAAGGGCAAAACTCCAACTAAGAAACACCTCATTCGGGCTTGATCCTAACTCTGGCCGTATATTATTAGCATTGTCAATGGGAATTTGGTTTTCACCTATCCAAGTCTTGGAATTACTTAGACAATATAGATATCTTCTAGTATAAAGCTATTGGTGAACAAGGCTCCTTATCTAGATTAGAATTGAGGGAATTTCCTTCTTTATAAGGGGAAGAAATTATTCTCTCCAAGTTAGATGCTCTTTAAAGGGTAGAACTCTAACAGAACATTATCTCATCTTGGTTAGTTTAATTTACCCACATAAAGATTAACTAAAAATATTAAAAATCGATTGAAAGAGAGAAATTTCAAGAAGAAATTCATAAAAACATTGCAATTATTCATAGAATACCATTTATAAATTCTGTATACACTTTTTTATAGAATTGTTTATCAAACGTTACATTACTTCTATCTTAAAAAATACTTTATTAAAAGATATTCTCAGAATACTTTAACCAATCACAACAATGTTCTACTTGGCTAAATGAACAAGATAGTGCACTTAGGGATTTAAGATTGGCTCAAGAAGAAACTTCTAGTTTTCAGATAATCTTACTAAAAATTACTTAGAAAGGTTGTAGGTAAGTGAAATTTATAGTCCCAACACATAAATAGCCATTAGAGAGAGGAAGATTTCAGAACTATACATTTAATGCTCTCTAACTGATGCTTTTGAAATTCTGAAGATTTCTGTGTGATGTCAAGAAATTCTTACATCACATCTTCACATATTTTTTCAAAAACAGGGAAAACTGTGTGACAAAAACACACGAAATAATTTTTGACGTCACATCCATCTTCAAAAATGCAGAAATTAGTGTGAAGAAAATGTGTGATGTAATTCTTCACATCATATGGCTCTGCAACTTCTCATCGGGAAGAAAGTATGTGAAGCAGTTTTTCAGATCACATTATTAAACTTCTTGTCAATGTAAAGGAGGGATGTAAATCAACTATTCACATCACATGATTGCTAGCATGAAGGTGTATGAAGCAGATATTTAGAGAGCAAATCATTTCATTTTTGCTTTTCTTCAAAGAGATGACTTTTCACATGAAAAATTTCAGGAAGAATTTTCTCAGAAACATTTTCAAATTTTATTTTTAAAATTTCAAAATAAATAAAGATTCTTGAGAGAAAAGTAAAATCAGCAACTTACATAAGATGCAGTAAACAAAATATTTTAAGCATTAAGACTTCCATTCTCTTTCTTTTTCGTCCCTATCCAAAAATTTTCAAGCTCCAGTTTTGTTACTTTATCTTTTGCTACAAAAATTATTTTGCAAAACAAACTTAGAGTGATGTTAGCATAAATTAAATTATTATTATTTTATCAAATAAGTGTATATTTTCCAACGAAGGCAAATGTCAAAGCGTGCTGGGATCAGCATGGGGTGCCATTGCTAGCCTTGTTGTTCCTGGTAAGCCTTTGTCTTGATAAATCAAGTTTCAACTTCCTTCAGAATCCCAAAAGCAGAGATTTCTAAAATTATGGCTGATGCATCAAAATGAACAAGTTTAGCAATTCTAGTTTGAAACATCATTTGTTAGATGACAATGGTATGCCATTATATATTGCCTTGGAGTTTTGAGAGGATTAGGAGTTAGAAGTTGAAAATGTGGCAGGTAATATTTTGCAATTGTTTTCCAGTCTTGAGGATTACAGTTGTTGAAGATGTCTTAGTCTTGCTCTTGCTTTGGCTGATGTGTAGTTCTCAATTGTAACTGCATCTTCAAGGACACCTACTTTGGTTCTGTCTTATGGAAATACTCAGAAATTCTACTAGATACCATATGGATGTATTCTTGCTCAGAGTGTTGTACCTTGCAAGAAGGTTAATATGAAACTCTTCTGCAAAGCATGACATCACCCGTCAGTTATTGCTATCTATATGACTTATGTTTGGATTTCTTTTCTGTTGGAGTTCAACTTCCAGACACAACGTTTCAGCAAGTTGGCATGTTTAATTTGGGACCCTAATGTAGAAGTCTTCTATTAACTTTTCACTTCTCTTATGTGGAGGATTTTTGAAGTTCTTGTTCATGGAAGTGTGCCATTGGTTAAATGTGAGAAAAAGCATCATATTTGCTCTTATAATTTTCTGTTGAATCGATCTGTGATTCCTTTCTTTGAGTTCCTTATCTTCCGTGAATTGATCTTTGTGCAAGGGCTAATGTAGTTATAATGGTCGTGAAATATGAGTGTTGTGATATGCAGTTGCCGCAAAAATTTAGTAACTTCACCAATGCAAAGTCCGAGCTGCTAAATGTGAAAGCATGTTCATGTTGACATTATCTCATAGAAAGAGATTATATTATTTGTTATCTAGGAACTCCTTAATATCATAAGAGAAATGTACTCCTTAAGAATATGATTGGCTATAATTGGAACAAATAAACTATTATTGTGGAATATTGAGAAAATACATAGTCCAATTATGAGAAGATTGAAATTTCATTACAAGATGATGAAAATTGATCTTCTAGAGAATTTCAAGTAGAATTGAGAAAATTTATTCCAACATATATCAGTTAATCTTCTTGAAGGTTGGTTGTCTTGTGCAACATGGCCATTTCTTAATAGTACTTTTATCTTTTCCCCCATTTTGGCAGAACATTCCTGGTTACAAAATGTTAAGAAAGCTCCAAATGTTCCTCTGGGAGATATTGTAAGGTCAAGGTTGAAGCAATTTTCGGTGATGAATAGATTCAAAAAGAAAGCTCTGAGAGTAAGCGTTGCAGATTTTCATCTGAAGATCTGATGGTGGATTCAGTTTTGAGTGCTTCACTATATTATGTTGATATGTCTTTGCTCTATATATGCTGCAGGTGATCGCAGAGCACTTATCCGTTCAGGAGGTAGAGGTAATCAGAGATATGTTTACATTGATGGATACGGACAGTGATGGGAAAGTAACATATGATGAACTGAGGGCTGGGCTTCGGAAAGTTGGTTCACAATTGGCTGAACCAGAGATAAGGATGATGATGGAAGTGGTAATGTCATTGATTAACTCTGTTCACATTGGATATTTTGATGTTCTGTCCAACTTACTAAGAATTTGAATGAGTTGAGTCCTGCATGCCTTCTTTTCACCTATAAAGATGCACTAAATGGTGTAACTTCATTTATTAACTTTCTTGAGTTTTCACTTCATTTTTATTTGTTTTGGATTGAAGATGCTGGCTTTGTGTCGATATCTAGCAACCTGTATGAATTATTGGTGTGGACTTTACAGGCTATAGGCGTGTACTTAGAGGCTTTTGACTATGCACTGCAAGTAGATTATTGAGATGGTCTCTAGATGCTTAGGATGCTGAGAAGTTTATCCATGCTTTTTCCTGATACTTTCTTATTTTTTCATTGGTATTAAATAAACTAAAACTAATAAACTTTAGAATGAAACGATGCTAGTAATTTGTTTTTTGAAATAGAAAGGATGCTAGTAAATTAAGATCTTGTATTTCAAGGTCAATATTCCTACTTTCCAAATATGATTTTTTTGAGGTTTGATCAGGCTGATGTGGATGGGAATGGAGTTTTGGATTACGGAGAGTTTGTAGCAGTCATAATTCACTTGCAGAAGATGGAGAATGATGAACATTTCCGCAGAGCATTTATGTTTTTTGATAAAGATGGAAGTGGATATATTGAGTTAGCTGAGCTACGGGAAGCTTTGGCCGATGAGTCAGGTGAAACAGATGATGCTGTCCTGAATGACATCATGCGAGAAGTTGACACAGACAAGGTTTTTGGCTCTTACCATCTCATTTCACTTAATTTTGTATCAACTCTTTCGTCAATGCAGATAAAGAGTTGGTTCTTTGAAATTATGATACTCACCACATGATGTTATTTCAATACATCTATTCTCAATTAGTTTTGTTTTGCAACTACCGTTTCCAGGATGGATGTATCAGTTATGAGGAGTTTGTTGCAATGATGAAAGCGGGAACTGACTGGAGAAAAGCATCTAGGCAGTATTCGAGAGAGAGATTCAAGAGTTTAAGCCTCAACTTAATGAAGGATGGTTCTTTACATCTCCATGATTCAGTAACTGGCCAATCCATCGCGGTATGAGGTTCTGTGGTTTTGTTTTCCTTTAGCTTTCTAAGTCTCCCCTCCCCGCCCCTGCCACAGACAGCCTTGGCGAGTTCTTCGTACAAGGATTGCTGCACACGGGATAAATGAAACTGAGCTGGGCACCCAAAAGAAGCATTTTGTGAATTACATTTGTTGGTTTTGCTTCCCGTTCGGCTGCAAGAAGTGTTAACTGAATGGGTGACTGGATATTGGTTATCATATTTTCTGGGGGCACCAGTTCTTAAATATGTTTCACATATTACTTTGTATATTTGTCATGTGATCAGTGTTTTGACAGTTCAATATGTATTTGAACTTCTCAAGCATTGTGCAGAAACCCTACTGAGAACATATCAAGTTTGAGGAAGTTTATTTTGTTTGCTTTGCAGTTACTAAACCCAATCTTAAAATTCCGAAATCCAAATTATATATATTCTTAAGTGGAAGCTGCCTTGTTAGGTTAAGTTGTATTTTTAGTATATATAAATATGTATATGTGGACCAAAATACTCAAAAGTATTCTTACTACCTGTAAAATATTCAAATAAATACTTGCAAAACTTTGCATGCAATTAAATCTTGAATTTTTGAACTTTGTTTGAATCAGCCTCTTGATGGATGGAATACAAATCAGACTCTGTAATCCCATAACTAGTCTTTGTTATGAATTTAGGAGAATCACATCCTAAAAACTAATCATACACTCTGCAATCTTAGTGTGCACGCAGACTGACTTTCGATATCACCCACTTGCATTGCATGATTGTTATGTCTTACGATTAGGGTTACACGAGAAAATTGAAGCTATGTAAAAACATAATTGATGAACTCAAAAGAAGTTGGCCTTTTATGGTGAGATTACACACCAAAATAAGCAACGGTCAATTTAGAAAAATTCGGGTTTGAGAAATGGTACCAAGTAGGAAGGTATTAGGCACCCAACTAGTGGTATATTGTAAAAAATAGTACTATATAGAGAACCTATTATAAAAAAACTTGAGAAAGCATTCGAGAGTTCTGTGTATTGAGAATATACAAGTGATTAGTGAGATAAACACCAAGAGAAATAATGTGTTGAAAAAAATTTAAGAAAATAGGGAAAAATCAAACAGTTGGCTTGAGAAAAAGGATGTAGGCACGAGTTGTGTGGTCTAACATCAATACACCGAGTTTGTGTTCTCTTCAATTCTCTCTTTTTATTTATTTTTAACTTATTTATTAACATTGTTTGATATTTTATTCTAACACATTTTTCACATACAGATTTAGAGATTTACTCGTAAAGTTAAACTCTTTATTATTCTCAATTCATTCCATCGTCGTTACCTTTAAAAATTTAACTAGAAAGTAAAATTTTTACGATTGATTACTATGTGGTATTTTGTATATATCTTTTATTTGCTTTTAGTAAATAATTGATAAGTTGAAGGAGATTCAATGAAATATAAAATATAAATTCAATTTTTTTATGAAAATAAAAAAAAACAAATGTTATTATATAATGTTTGGCAAATATCTTGGAATTCTTCACCTTTAATATTTTTTTAAAATATGTAAATTTTTTATTTTTTATTTTTTAAATATAAAATTTTTTATTCTACGAAAAATATTTATCATACATAGTATTTTTAAGACATGCATATTGAGTATTAATTAAAAATATTATACAAGATATTAAAATAATCATGTAGATTATAAAATGAATCATAATATCTATCATACTTAACTATCGCTATAACATAAGTAAAATATTTGGTGTATATTTTTTTGCTCATTTTCCTGTCTTCAATCATGTCTCTTTTATTATTTAATTTATTTCTTAAATCATGTCTGTCTCGCGTTGATTATAGAGATAATACTTGTATATATAACAACATTATTGTAATCAATCATATTAGCCTAGTTGGACAAGTTTTCATGGTGGCAGAACAGGTTTACAAACTGCAATATAAAGTGTGACCACCGAAATTGTACCTTCTAACAAAGCTGTCGAAGGTTCTTCTTATTACCTATACTCATCTGACAATCCAGGTTTGATTTTGTCACACATCTTCTTAGTGAAAATAGAGATAACTATTTCATTTTGAGATGCAATTTTATAAACAGGATTTCATTCTAAAAACAAAACTTGTTTTTTGAATTGAGTGATTAAAAGACCTGATGCCAACTCGCCAAAGTTTCAATCTTGGATGCCACGCAATGCAGTTGTTTTGTCTTGGTTAACAAATGCACTTACTAAAAAGCTTCAGGGTTGTGCGGCTCATGTCGAGACAACAAGAAAGGAATGAGAAGATTTGGAACAGGGATTTACTTGAGGCATAGGCCCTAGAGTATATGAGTTGAAATTAGCAATAACGCTCTACAGCAGGAAAAGTCCTCGATTTCAGCATATTATGGAAAATTGAAATCTACTTGGGATGAATTGCAGAGTCTCAATCCAACTCCATTATGCACTTACAGATGTAACTGTGATGTAGCAAAGCGGATGCAGTCCATACATGAAGAAGAAAAGATATTTGATTTTCTAATGGGGCTTGATGATGTTTTCTCAATTGTTAGATCACAGATATTGAGTGTAGATCTATTGCCAAACCTTGGGAGAGTCTACGATATTGCAGCACAAGAAGAGAAGCAACAATCAGTTGTGGCAACTCGAACTCCCTCCATTGAAGGAGCTGCATTACTTGCAAAAGGGAATGAACTAAAACAGAAGAAGAGTGACAACGGAAGCAGATGTCAGTTTCCACCTCGTGTTCATTGAGGAAAAACTAACCACAGCAAAGATGTCTAGTTAACACTTCTTGCAGCCGATAGCGAGCAAAACCAACAAATATACTCACAAATGCTTCTTTTGGGTGCCTAGCTCAGTTTCTTTTATCCCATGTGCCGCACTCTTTGCACGAGAGACACGCCAAGGATGTGTGTGGAGAGGGCAGCGAGGGACGACTTAGGAAAGCTAAAGGAAAACAAAACCACGAGACCTCATACCGATATGGATTGCCCAGTAACTGAATCATGACATGTAAAGAATCATCGTTCACTAAAGTTGGAGCTTAAACTCATGCATCTCTCTATCGATACTGCGTAGATGCGTTTCTCAGTCAGTCCCGCTTCATCAGTGCACAAACTACTCATTACTGA